GGGGCACGGGGTATAGGACAATAGTGTGCAACATCACTTCATGAGATGTAGTCAATTTATCTGGCATGCGCCTTTACCGTCCGCCCTATCTAGATTATAGTTTGAGCTTGAGTCGTTATCAAAGCATTCGTTGTAAGCAGATTCTTCGTACCTCCCGCCTCCCCCTCACACTCACTCACTCACACACACACACACACACACACACACACACACACACACACACACACACACTTGAGCTCTTAACCACACGCACAAGCTTGCAATTGACAGCTAAATGTGTCGTTTCCTGACTACAGTACAACATTACTTCATCATGCAATAATGAGGAAAACAATAAGTTATTATCCTTCGATTGAACCGGAGTGGGTGGGGGTTGCAATTTTCCGAAATGCATTAGAGATTTATATATACCTACCTATAAATACTTTTGAAGGAAATAGGCAATGTTCACAAGAAACATTTTTCCTAATTTTCACAACATTTTTGCAAGTTAATACTACAGATTACTATGCTACAATACATGTAGTTCAGTCTCCGACAAAAACCTGGCAATCCCAGCACTCTGATTCCTTCCTTTTGGTACGACATGATCGGCTTTATCAGGACTAAGTTCGGAGTTCTCCAGCTGATCCAGAGTCACTCCAAAAACATCGACATCGGTATCCAGGCTGCCCGTAAGTAGAAAGAAGAGGTCTAGATCCCCCCCGTTTTAGGTAATGATTTAAAAACTGCCCGTTTTAGGTAATGATTTAAAAAAAACTCCCCGTTTTGGGTAATGATCTAAAATCGAGGTGGTTTTGGGTAGTGTTCTAAATGGAGCTGGTTTTGGGTAGTGTTTTTGGGTCGAGGTGGTGTATGGTAGTGTTGTATGTGTATGTGATTTATGGGGGGAAAAAAAGTTGCGTTGTTTTAGATTGAGTAGAAAATGTTGATGTTGTGGGTTTAGAAGGGAAGTGGTAATGTTCGAGGTATCCCGTGTGGTTGTTGTTTCTTTTTTTGGTGATATGTTGGAAAAGCAGCCCAGGCGCCCGGGAAAAAAAGATGGTATGTTTTTTGTTTTATGTGATCCTGCCCCGCGAGTTTTTTGTTGATCTTTAAATTCCTTAGTATGTGTTGGTGACGTGTGTGAACACATGGTGTGTTGGAAGTAAACAGATAGATGTTAAGCTTAATACATTGGTTTAAAACGATTTTTTCTAGTAAAGGAGATGGTTGAGTGGAGTGAGTTGAACTTTTGTTAGAAATAAGGGCTTTAGTAATGTTTAGTGAGGTAAACTAAGAAAGTTTAATTGGTGAAGAAGGAGTTGGTAATGTTTAGTGAGCTGAGCTTAGAAATGTTATTGGTAAGGAAACTGTTGGTAGTTTTTAGTGAGTTGAATTTAGAAAGTTTATTGGTAAAGAAGGCTTTGGTGGAGTTTAGTGAGTTGAGCTTAGAAATTTTATAGGTAAAGAAGGTGTTAGTAGTGTTTAGTGGGTTGAACTTAGAAAGTTTTATTGCTAGAGAAGACATTGGCAGTGTTTGGTGGGTTGAACTTAGAAAGTTTTATTGCTAGAGAAGACATTGGTAGTGTTTAGTGGGTTGAACTTAGAAAGTTTTATTGCTAGAGAAGACATTGGTAGTGTTTAGTGGGTTGAACTTAGAAAGTTTTATTGCTAGAGAAGACATTGGCAGTGTTTAGTGGGTTGAACTTAGAAAGTTTTATTGCTAGAGAAGGCATTGGTAGTGTTTAGTGGGTTGAACTTAGAAAGTTTTATTGCTAGAGAAGACATTGGCAGTGTTTGGTGGGTTGAACTTAGAAAGTTTTATTGCTAGAGAAGACATTGGTAGTGTTTAGTGGGTTGAACTTAGAAAGTTTTATTGCTAGAGAAGACATTGGTAGTGTTTAGTGAGCTGAACTTAGAAATGTAATAGGTAATAAAGGGTGTTGGTACTGTTTAGTGAGCTGAACTTAGAAATGTTATTATTGGTAAAGAAACTGTTGGTAGTGTTTAGTGAGCTGAACTTAGAAATGTAAAAGGTAATAAAGGGTGTTGGTAGTGTTTAGTGAGCTGAACTTAGAAAGTTTATTGGTAAATGAGGCTTTGGTAGTGTTTAGTGACTTGAGCTTAGAAATTTAAAGATAAAGAATGTGTTGATGGCGTTTAGTGAGTTGATCGTAGAAATCTTATAGGCAAAGAAGCCGTTGGTCGTGTTTAGTGAGTTGAACTTAGAAAGTGTTATTGGTAAAGCAGGTTTTGCTAGCGTTTACTGAGCTGAACTTTGAAAGCTTTATTGCTAAAGAAGGCATTGGTAGTGTTTAGTGAGTTGAACTTAGAAATTTTATAGGTAAAGAAGGTGTTGATAGTGTTTGGGCTCTTGAGTTGAGCTCTGAAAGTTTTATTGGGAATGGAGGTGTTGGTGTTGGTTAGCGAGTTGGACTCGAACTTAGAAATTTTATAGGTGACGAAAGCGTTAGTAGTGTTTAGTGAGCTGAACTAAGAAATGTTATTGAGAATGGAGGCGTTGGTAGTGTTTAGTGCGTTGAACTTTGAAAGTTTTATTGGTAAAGAAGGCGTTGGTAGTATTTAGTGAGTTGATCTTAGAAAGCTTTATTGTTAAAGAAAGCGTTAGTAGTGTTAGTGAGTTGAACTTAGACATGTTATTGGTAATGAAACCGTTGGTAGTTTTTAGTGAGCTGAATCTTGACAGTTTTATTGAGAACGAATGCGTTGGTAGTGGTTAGTGAGTTGAACTTAGAAATTTTATAGGTAAGGAAAACGTTAGTAGTGTTTAGTGAGTTGAACTTAGAAAATTCTTTTCAGGTAAAGAAGGTGTTGATAGTGTTTAGTAAGCTGAACTTAGAAATGTTGTTGGTAATGAAACTGTTGGGAGTGTTCAATGAGCTGAACTTTGAAATGAAATTGGTAATAAAAGTGTTGGTAGTGTTCAGTGAGCTGAACTTAGAAATGTTATACAGACTTCAACATAAGTTAAGGACCACTTACAAACACTCTGAGTGGTCTTCTTGGGTCGACCTGCACGTGGGCGTTCTGGGACGGATCCAGTGACTTGATGGCGCTGCCTCAGGCGAACAATGACAGAGTGTGACACTGCCAGCCTTCTGGTAACTTCTCGGGCTCCAACTCCATCCTGCAGCCATGCGATATCTTTGGTACGATCAAAGTCTCTCAGCTTTCTTCTTGGTTGTATGTTGATTCGATACTGGATTTTGCGCAAACAGCGGCTCATATTGCCACCAAAGTGAGCACAGTTCGAGATCGTACGTCTGTTAATGACGAGCACCAGAAATTTCGGATTTTAAAAAAAATAAGGACTACCTGTCAAGGTGGTCCTTAACTTTGCTGAAGTCTGTAGGTAAAGAAGGTGTAGGCAGTGTTTAGTGAGTTGAACTCAGAAAGTTTTATTGCTAAAGAAGGTGTTGGTAGTGTTTAGTGAGTTGAACTTTGAAAGTTTTATCGAGAATGGAGGCGTTGGTAGTGGTTAATGAGTTGAACTTAGACATTTTATAGGTAAAGAAGGTGTTAGTAGTGTTCAGTGAGTTGAACTTAAAAAGTTTTTTTAGGTAATGAAGGTGTTGATAGCGTTTAGTGAGCTGAACTTAGAAATGTTGTTGGTAATGAAACTGTTGGCAGTGTTTAGTGAGTTGAACGTAGAAAGTTTTATTGGTAAAGATGTCGTTGGTAGTGTTTACTGAGCTCTGAACTCAGAAAATGTTTTGGCACAGAAGGCGTTGGAAGTGTTTAGTGAGTTGAACTTAGAAACATCATAGTTAATTAGCATACATTGCAAATAACAGATTCCGCACGTCTACAGCGTGCGCTACTCGGTGACAACCCGGTATGCTTACTTCGCTCTGTGCTTAAATGCCTTTTCTCAGTTAGTCTTCCATAAAGGGTATGATCAATTTCAGTATGACAGCATGGGTCGGCAACACAAGACAACATGATAAAGAAAAATTGAATCAGTTAATTCGAAAGCATGTAAAATTTCAACATCTTGCATTCGTCTACTTCGATGAATTATACATTGCCGCTTGCACTAGAAAAATTAATTCCATCTTTTTGGACTATATAAACATTCCTTGTTCCCTCAAATAAAAATATCAATCAGAAGTAAAATACCTAGGCTTCTGATCTATGACAAAGAAAGATACCGAT